AATATTCAAAACTACTCAAATGACCTTAAATGTGGACAACCAAGAGCCTTGTACCGTTAAAATTAATAATGGCGAAACCAAATGTAAAATAACCGGAGATGAATTAAATGGAAAATTAATTTTCGAAACTGAAAAAGGAACTGAAATTACTGTTCCTTTCAAAGATGCTAAATTGTTTTCTGGAAATAAGTGTGTTATTGAACTTGTTAATTATGACAAGGAAACTCATGAAACTAAACTTAAAATTAATGGAAATGATTTTGTGATTAAAAAGAAGGATGGTACTGTTTCAACTAAGTGTGGCGGAAGAGCTAAAACTGTTTAAATTTTAAAAGTGTGAATTGAAAGAGGAAGAGAATATAAACAAATGTGAAGATGAGAAAAAATATTTCGAAGAAAGCATTCCAAAAATAATCAAAAAAATTAATTCTTCAAATTTTTCTTTTATTTTTGAATAAATTATTTTATAAATCTTTATTTGTATACCTAATTTCTTTAACAAAAACTCGAACCAGAGCTTTAGGAAGTTTCCTAAGTTGCTCCTAATGTACGATATTGTTGGCATTTCCAAGCTCGAGTAGTTTTTGGAACAATATAGTTCTGAATTGATCATGGGGCCTAAAAGATATCATTGGATTAAGGTTGGATAAAGGACTATTTTTCAACACTCCTCCAAAGGGGAGTATTATTATAGGGGGGAGTACTAATTCAGGGGGGAGTACTATTTTTCAACACTCCTCCATGATTTATCTCATGAAAATTTATTTCAATATTCTAAATGTTCAAATCAATTAGAGTTCGTAATTTGAAAAATGCCGAATCCGAATTTGGATTTTCAAACTAATTCCTTTATAAATAATTCGCAAATACACAAATTAGTATAAAATTGAGCCTTATGATATTTGAATCTTGTGATATCAAAAAAAATAAAAATAACCCGAAATAATCCCTATAAAGTGATCAAATAACGTAAGCAGGGGATCAGTGTGTTGGATAGCTGAGGATTTTTGGATTAGAGGTAGAGAAGAAATAACGGTGGATTGAGGAGGATTCATGATTCAATTTTATTTCCTGATCAATCTTAATTAGGATGCACCCCGAACGCTCGGGGGCGGATATGTCGGGGTTAATCAAGCAAAATCATCTAATATGACTCATTCGTAAATATTCCCACAAATTCCTTTATCCAACCTTAATCCAATGATATCTTTTAGGTCCCCTTGATAATTCATAACTCCTTTATAATCCGAAATAAACCCTTTATATCCCTCAAATCCACATTTACCCACCAACTAATCACAATATATCTTCTTAAACCTAAATAAAATACAAATTCACAAGTAAAATTTGCCCTTTTTTATTATTTTTTTCAAATATAGAGGAAAATATTATAGGGGGAGTATTATTTAAGGGGGGATTACTAATTCAGGGGGGAGTACTATTTTTGAACCCTCCTCCAAAGGGGAGTATTATTTGAGGGGGGAGTACTAATTAAGGGGGTTTACTATTACAGGAAATACGGTATATTGTTCCAAAAACTACTCGAGCTTGGAATTGCCATCTATATCAGTAATTTGGGGCAATTTAGGGAAACTTCCTAAAGCCCTTGTTCGAGTTTTTGTTAAAGAAATTAGTTATACAAATAAAGTTAATAAAATAATTTATTCAAAAATCAAAGAAAAATTTGAAGAATTAATTTTTTTGATTATTTTTGGAATGCTTTCTTCAAAATATTTTTTCTCATCTTCACATTTGTTTATATTCTCTTCCTCTTTCAATTCACACTTTTAAAATTCAAACAGTTTTAGCTCTTCCACCACACTTAGTTGACACAGTACCATCCTTCTTTTTAATCAAAAACCATTTCCATTAATTTTAAGTTTAGTTTCATGAGTCATGAAACTAGTTTAGTTTCATGAGTCATGAAAAAAAAAGGAAACTCATGAAACTAAACTTAAAATTAATGGAAATGATTTTGTGATTAAAAAGAAGGATGGTACTGTTTCAACTAAGTGTGGTGAAAGAGCTAAAACTGTTTAAATTTTAAAAGTGTGAATTGAAAGAGGAAGAGAATATAAACAAATGTGAAGTTGAGAAAAAATATTTTGAAGAAAGCATTACAAAAAAATAATCAAAAAAATATTTCTTCAAATCATTTATTTTTTGAATAAATTATTTTATAAATCTTTATTTGTATACCTAATTTTTTTAACAAAAACTCGAACCAGGGCTTTAGGAAGTTTCCTGAGTTGCTCCTAATGTACGATATTGTTGGCATTTCCAAGCTCGAGTAGTTTTTAGAATAATATAGTATTTCTTGAAATAGTACTCCCGGGAGTACTATTTTTCACTCCTCCAAAGGGGAGTAGGAAGAGTACTAATTCAGGGGGGAGTACTATTTTTCAACCCTCCTCCATGATTTATCCCCTCCTCCATGATTTATCCATGATTTACCAAAATCATCTAATATGACTCATTCGTCATTATTCCATCAAATTCCGTTATCCAACCTTAATCCAATGATATCTTTTAGGTCCCCTTGATCAATTCAGAAAACCTTTATAACCCGAAATAATCCCTTTATATCCCTCAAATCCACTTTTACCCCACCAACTAATCACAAAATACCGTATTTACTCTAATTAAATTTTTTGAGGCTATTGAAAAATATAATGACCCGCTCTATTTAAATGATCCAGTTAATTGAATAACCCTTTTAGAGGTGAAAATATAATTCATAATTTTTATTAATATTCTCGTACGTATATTCGTAATTATTATTTAAGAATGAATTCTTTTTATAATATTGTATTGACGATAAAATCGACGTAGAAACATTATCAGATGGAGAAGGACCTTCGGTAATCCTTAAGATCATTGGTCCCTAGAAAGAATTAGTAAAAAATGCTCCTTCGGTATTTTTGAGGCTTGCCAGTAAATAAACGAGTGTGTTAAGTCCGAATCTAAGCTTAAAATTTGTTTATTTCGAATCCGGGACCCGAATTCGACCAAGTTGAATTCGGGGTAAAAGTTCAAAATCAGATGTTTAGGGCTTATCTTACTCAGCTCTTCATGCTGGTTCAAGCCCTGGTTCGAGTTTTTGTTAAAGAAATTAGGTATACAAATAAAGATTTATAAAATAATTTATTCAAAAATCAAAGAAAAGTTTGAAGAATTATTTTTTTTTAATTTTTTGTAATGCTTTCTTCAAAATATTTTTTCTCATCTTCACATTTGTTTATATTCTCTTCCTCTTTCAATTCAAACTTTTAAAATTTAAACAGTTTTAGCTCTTCCGCCACACTTAGTTGACAAAGTACCATCCTTCTTTTTAATCACAAAATCATTTCCATTAATTTTAAGTTTAGTTTCATGAGTTTCCTTGTCATAACTAACAAGTTCAGTAACACACTTATTTCCAGAAAACAATTTAGCATCTTTGAAAGGAACAGAAATTTCAGTTCCTTTTTCAGTTTCGAAAATTAATTTTCCATTTAATTCATCTCCGGTTATTTTACATTTGGTTTCGCCATTATTAATTTTAACGGTACAAGGCTCTTGGTTGTCCACATTTAAGGTCACTTGAGTAGTTTTGAATATTTGAGCATTTCCAGACATTTTTAGAGTATTTTGTACATCTGGTTTGTTTGCTCTTGCTGGGGGAATTTTGTCTTTGTCCCCTAAATGAATAAGGGTTCCAACCTCCTTACAGCTCGAGGTAGAGGCCTTTCGATCGCCTGTTCCCTCAGCTATGGCAATAAAAGCCAATGAAATAATTAGAAGGGTAGAAGTGTAGAGGAGAGACATTTTAGAGTTGTTTTGGTGTGTTTTTTGAGTTTTTTAAATTGTTGAGCAGATTGTTTGATGGTTGGATAGCTAATTAATTCGTGTTTATATACTAATGGACTTCTGAAAAGTGCAATTACATTATGTTATACATCATATTACATGATAGATTCACCAATTTTATAACACGTAATATGATGTATAACATAATGTAATTGCACTTTTCAAAAGTGATATGATGAAATTATAACGAAACTTTCAAACCATCAAAGTCCATTAATATATAAACACCAATTAATTAGCTATCCAACAATCAAACAATCTCCTCAACAATTTAAAAATCCACAAAACACCACAAAACAACTCTAAAATGGCTCCTCTCTTCACTTCTACCCTTCTAATCATTTCATTGGCTTTTATTGCCATAGCTGAGGGAACAGGCGATCGAAAGGCCTCTACCTCGAGCTGTAAGGAGGTTGGAACCCTTATTCATTTAGGGGACAAAGACAAAATTCCCCCAGCAAAAGCAAACAAACCAGACGTACAAAATTCTCTAAAAATGTCTGGAAATGCTCAAATATTCAAAACTATTCAAATGACCTTAAATGTGGACAACCAAGAGCCTTGTACCGTTAAAATTAATAATGGCGAAACCAAATGTAAAATAACCGGAGATGAATTAAATGGAAAATTAATTTTCGAAACTGAAAAAGGAACTGAAATTACTGTTCCTTTCAAAGATGCTAAATTGTTTTCTGGAAATAAGTGTGTTATTGAACTTGTTAATTATGACAAGGAAACTCATGAAACTAAACTTAAAATTAATGGAAATGATTTTGTGATTAAAAAGAAGGATGGTACTGTTTCAACTAAGTGTGGCGGAAGAGCTAAAACTGTTTAAATTTTAAATTAAGAATTGAAGAGAATAAACACATGTGAAGTTGAGAAAAAATATTTTGAAGAAAGCATTCCAAAAAATTTAAAAAAAATAATTCTTCAAATTTTTCTTTGATTTTTGAATAAATAATTTTATTAAATATAGTTTTTACTACTAAATCTTACTCTTATTTATTAAAAAGATAATTCCTTATAGGCGTTGATCGGACCAGGGTCATGGACATCGGAAGTTTTCTGAATTCCCCTGGGAGCCTTGGAGTGTGTAACGCCCAAAACATCTCGATCATATCAACGCAAATCCATACTAGCTGGAAAATTTCTGGTCCTCAGCAATTTTAGTACCAATCTTTTTAGCTCGAATAATTGCTTTATTTTTTCACTAATAACAGTGAACATTTTAATTTTCCTAATTTCAATCTATGTATATTCTAATAGAGAAATCCCCAGAATATTAATCTCCAAGAGGCCAAATTTAATTTAAAAATCGACCTTCCAAAATATCTCGACTTGCAAACATTGCCAATGAAGGTGAAGCCCTTCCCAAACGGAATACTTGCAGAAACAAATTTGGCTCACAGCTATGATTAATATAGCGAGAAATGTTCCCTTTGTAACGCCCATCAATAAAAGTGTACCGACATTCACCTAAGTTAATTTTTTGAATATTTAGTTTTAAATTACTGAAAATTTGACCCTGTAAAATAAATTTTACTCCTTGTAAAACAATGCGAGAGTAAAAGGAACAGGAAAAAACTAGGAGTTCCGATTTTTGAATGTTAGGTTTCTAAAGACTAAATCCCTGTCATGAAGACCTAATGGTAGATAAATTACACCGGCTAACTTAAGCATATATATGTATTAATAGAAACACTAAAATTCTGAACAATACGAACAAGAAGAAACAATGAGGTTTGCCTTTAGTGGAAAAATTCGTTGAAAAATAGTCCGAAAATAACCATACTAGAATGAACCCATACCGAAGGGGACGATTGTTCCCCATCCAATCCTACTTCCTGCATGTGTGGACACAAGGGCGTTCGCAATGGGTTAGTTCTGATTATCGCCTTTTCACTTCTGGTTATCGCCAGAGGTGAAAAGGCGATCTGGTTATCGCCCTTTATAAAATTTTAAACAGTCCTAAATTTAAAGGACCAATTTTCTTTATTTTAATGAAAAATATAATTACCCCCAATAAATTCTCTAATTGTAAAAAGATAGTTGTGATGTAGTTGACTAGTTAATCTCCTTTCTGCCTCTTCCTTTGATACAAGTTCACCTACATATTCAACCACAAAGTGTCCGGCAGGTATCTTTTCTTGAGCAAATACCCCAAAACCTTTCTGTTCAGAATCACATTTTGCTACCTTTTTTAAAAAATATTTTTAAAAATTGAAAAATTTTTTAAATCCATACCTTCAATTTAAACTTAATTCCAAGTTGAATATTCCTGTTTGTACATTTTTCTGGGCAGAGGGCACATTCGCAATTGTTAGAACATTCCAAAAGAACCGAACTTGAAGCAGAATTTGGTGAATGAAAAAAGCGGCCATCCTTATAGTAATTAGGCTAATTAAAATTAATTCTGATTTAGATTAATTACAAATTCTGATTTTTAATAAATTACAAATTCTGATTTTAATAAATTACAAATTCTGATTTTAATAAATTACAAATTCTGATTTTAATAAATTACAAATTCTGGTTTTAATAAATTACAAATTCTGATTTTAATAAATTACAAATTCTGATTTAAAAAACTGAATTTTAATAATAAATTACAAATCTGAATTTCTGAATTATTAAAAAAAATTCTGAATTTATTAAGTTACAATTTAGCAAAGACAAACCAATCCATTAAAAATGCATGAACATTTGCTAGCAGCACTGCACTCTCCAATGCATGAACAACCTTCAAATTGATCCTCCAAGCAAACAGGATCTAAACCAGGTCCAGCAACGTTTTCAGTGATGTATTCAAAATCCATAGAATTTAAAATGAAATTTTATTTTTAAATTTTTAATTGAAATTAAAGAGAAATTAATAATTAATTTGTAAGAAAAATGAATTTTTAGTTAAAATAAAAATAATCAACGAATAATTTTTAATAATTAGACAATAAAAATAAATTTTAAAATAAATTTTAATTTATTTTACAAATGAAAAATAGTATAAGAAATACGAGTAAAATGCAATATGTAAATATTACAAATATCTTTGTGATTATTAAATTTATATTTTTGGATATTAAGGCCGAAATACATATACAATTTTTCAGAAATAATAAATATACATAATAAACGAGTTACAAATTACAAATTCTGAATTTTAAATAATTAAAAATTCTGATTTACAAATTCTGAATTTTAATTAATTATAAATTCTGATTTACAAATTCTGAATTTTAATTAATTACAAATTCTGATTTACAAATTCTGAATTTTAATTAATTACAAATTCTGATTTACAAATTCTGAATTTTAATTAATTACAAATTCTGATTTACAAATTCTGAATTTTAATTAATTACAAATTCTGATTTACAAATTCTGAATTTTAATTAATTACAAATTCTGATTTACAAATTCTGAATTTTAATTAATTACAAATTCTGATTTACAAATTCTGAATTTTAATAAAATACAAATTCTGAAAAAAGGTTAAATTTACAATTTAAAATTAATATAAAATGCTGGGATTGCTTGCGTAAAAAATTATTAGCTTAATGATATGATTTAAATACAATGTAATATAAGAGATTAAGGCAAAAGGAAAAGAATAAAAAAGCATTTTCCAGGTTGATAAATTAATAATTTTCAGTAAAATCAACTCAAAAATTGAGTAGAAGAATGGTCTATTGCGGGCATTGCTGCCTCAGGTGTAACTCCAACGGGTTCAACATAGGTAATAGGGAATAATCCTGCCTTGCCGTCCTCATTTGCGCCTTTGCACATTCCATTGGACAACAATTCCTGAACCCAGAGGAGTTGGCCCTGCTAGAATTTAGAAAAAAATTTTTAACATAAACTTTAGAAATGTTAACCCTTATGCTCAATGCTGCCACATCATAAATGCTGGGGCAACGATCAGCTATCACTCTGACCCAAGAATTTGTTGTCAGCTTTAATGTTATAATTAAAATTATAAATTTTAAATAGTTTTCCTTTCATTTGTTATAGAAATTTTAATTTTTGATATTCTGATTTGTAAAACTGTTTATTATAAATTCTGATTTTTATTTCTACAAATTATGATTTTAAAATTATGTTTATATTTTGCAAATTCTGTTTATACCTATTTTACAAATTCTGTTTAAATTTTACAAATTCTGATTTTTACAAATTCTGTTACAAATTCTGTTTATATTTTACAAATTCTGATTTTTAATTTTTACAAATTCTGATTTTTATTTTACAAATTCTGTTTATTTTTTTACAAATTCTGATTTTTACAAATTCTGATTTATACAAATTCTGATTTTTAATTTTACAAATTTTTTATGTTTTACAAATTCTGATTTTTACAAACTCTGTTTATGTTTTACAAATTCTGATTTTTATTTTTACAAATTCAGCTTATTATTTACAAATTCTGATTTTTAAACATTCCAATACCTTATTCGATTGTTGTTGTTCGTTAACATTATTATTGCTCTCCACAGAATTAGCACTATAACGTTTACCAGTACTTCCACTGCTTTTTGAGCTTAAATTTTGAAGGCTAATCTCGTCGCCTTCTTCATAAATTTTAACATAATTAGCAGGGATTAATCCGGTATTTCCGAGACAATTGCTTAAAAATTATTTTGTTGGAAAATATTTTTTTTCGATTTTTTTTAAAAATTTTTCAAAAATATTTTTTTGAAAATAATTTTTGAAATCCCAAAATTTTCCAAAATTTCGAAAAAAAAATTCAAAAAAAATTTCGAAAATTTCTGAAAAACTTTTTTTCGAAATTCCAAAAATTTTCCAAAGTTTTCCAAATAATTTCCCCAACCTTGCCATCCACCACCGCTCTTCAGGTTTACTCAAAACTTCAAGTATTTCCCCTCTATCAAAAGGCAAGTCACTAATTCGTTCTCCTTCAAACTTGAATCTTTAATTTTATTTTAAAATTAAAATAAAATTTAATTTTCAAAGAAAAACCTTCCAATGACTTTTTCAATTGAAGGTCTTCCTAATGGATGGATAAGTGGAGTTGAATCGAGTTTTCGAAGTTTGTAATGGCTGAGAAGTGAAGGAATGTCCACAAATACAACATTATTGGAAATCTTTGTTTAAAAATTTTAGTAAAAATTTTTTTTTGATTTTAAGTGAAAATATTTTCTTAAAAAATATTTTTTCCCAAAAATAATCCTATAACTTGCAGACCTTTTTGGGAGTATAAAAATAACCAGAAATACAGATTTTTATTTTAGAATTTTAATAATTTTTTAAGTAAAATTGAATAAATTTTTTTTTACTTTTTTTCTTTATGTCCCCAAAATGCCGACATTTTTTATCCACAATTTTTAAAAATTTTTTGAAAAATTTTTAAGGTCAAAAATAAAAAAAATTTTTAGTTATTTTCTTTATGTTCCCGAAATGCCCACATTTTTTATCCTCAATTTTAAAAATTTTTTTGAATATGTTCAAGGTCAAAAATATTTAAAAAAATATTTCAAGAAAACTTGAAACATATTCTCCCAAAAAATTAATTTAATACCACAAATCTCTGCTTTCCATCTTCTTGCTGTTCACGCTTTATCAAATAATGGTTCACCCGATCATTTGTTTCCCTAATTATTAAAAAATAACCAAAAAAATTCCAAAAAACCAACTTGACACTTAACGAATACCCCTGTTCTGATGTCGATTCACGCATCAAAAAAGTGCCAACTTCCGTCCCCTTTAAAAGAGCCTCGGCATCATTTCGGTCTAGAAGGCCGAAAAAGAAGTTTTCCCGATTGTATGGGTCGAAGGGGACAATATTATGGGGGGAATTTTGTTGTGGTTGTTCAATAATCCCAAATTGGGTATAATGATGAGTCATAATAATTAAAGAGACTTTAAAGGATTTTTAAGGAAAAATAATTTATTTATTTAAGAAATATTTTTTTTAATATTTATAGCAGTTGTGAAAACAACTCAAAAATGCAGCCAAAACAAATAAATTTAAAAAATGCATCAAGATCATAAAAAAATATTTTTGTAAAAACAAATATTTTTACAAAATATTTGTTCAATTTTTATAAGAAAGGAATGATGAGTCTATTTAAGTCAAGAGAAAATTTTTTGAAATTTTTGTGACAAAAAAATGGAAAAGATGTATGTGTAAAGCAAGGGTGGGCAAGGATGGGTCGAAATATCCAAAACTCGGACTTTTTTGATCCGGGATCAGAAAACCTGTCTTGATGCTTTTTTTCTTAACCCGACTTATGACTCATCTCTTTGGTATAAAGGAAGCCATCACTAGCATAAGGAAGCAGCTTAGATGAAGTCCTAATAAATCAAAAATTGTCAAAAATATTGAATAAATACTAATCATTTCTTAACACAAATAAACAAATAATTTAATGTACATATAATTAAAATTTAATTGCGTGGAGAAAATTTTTTTGGGATAAAAATTAAAGTAAAAAAAATCAGAAAATTCCTCCAAAGTGAATAAATACTTCCCCCTTTAAAAAATAAAAGGAAAAATTTTAATAAATCAGGCGGAAATAAATGATTAAATGTCCCTGAGAAAACAGCCGTTGAACAATAAAAAGGCTCTCTTTTTTTTGCTGTCTGTCATCCGACCGCAAAAAAATTGGCGCTAGAGCAGCAAATGATCCCCCAAAACTACCAATTCATTCAACAAAAATTAATGGTTTGTTTCTTTTTTGTATACACATTACTATGAATATGTTTATACTATTAGGACCCAAAAAGACAGAAAAAGGGGAAAATGAGATGGAAAAATCAATTTACTAATAAAAAGACCCAAAAAATATTTTCTCCTTTTACTATTAAGCAAATAAATAATGTTTTTATAACAAATTAGGCCATAGATTTACAGAAATTTTATATAATCCAAAAAGTCATCGTTCAAAAAAATTTTCGGTAGTGATAAACAAACACAGTCAACGCATGATTCTTCATGAGTTTTAAATATCCTTTTCAGAAAATTGATAAATTAATCCATTATACTTGGCTAGTTCGATATTAACTGATCCGTTCAATTTGTTTAAATTTTTGAGATATTCAGAATTTCTTTATTAACAAAACATTGACCGTATATATACTAAAAAATAATGTAAATAATAAAATTTTATCTAGAACACAACCTTCGGATACATTAGAGTTAACCATAAAATTGATTGAAAACACCAAATTAGTGAAACCAACTTTTATTTAGACGCACAAATGCTTGCAAAAACGAAAAGATACCAGAATCTCATTAAGACTGAAAGATTCATCTTCAAATTAGAAACCTGAAAAAAAATAAAATTTAAAAAATTTTCGCAAAAAAGGAAAAATAGTAATATTGATTAAACAAAATTTTCGTTAAAAATTAATACAAAAGAAAATCTTTATTAAACAAAGTGAAACTGTTCGAGAAACATTGCTTGCTTAACTAAAGTAATTTTAAAAAAGGAAAGCAGATATTCTTAAAAAAATAAACACCCGACTCTGTTACAGTTCAAAAAGTAATTAAGAAAAGAAGCGGAAAGCAAGTTATTAAATTTTGAGAAAATTAAGGAAAAAAGAACTCGGGTCATTAAAATTAAATTTTTTAAACAATTTCCGGTCTTTTAAAAGGTACAATAAAAATACCAAAATTACTATTATATTCGGAAAAATTTTCGGTCAGTTAAAAAGAAAAGAAATCACCCAAAAATAAACCAGTACTATAAAAATGAAAGTATTGGCCTAATAAAAATTGAGTAAACAGACAATTGGTGACATATGAATAAAAATCAGAAACTTAAGTTTATTGAAGACATAATAGAGAAAAAAGTTTAAATTAATTAAAATCAGAAATTTAACATGAGAAACACAAACTTAAGAATATAAAATCAGAAACTTGGATTTTAAATAAACTTGAAATCAGAAACTTAAACAGAATTGTACTTAAGTTTAATCTTGAAATCAGAAACTTAAACAGAATTATACACTTAAGTTTTCGAGCTTGTGAATTCATTTGTAACTCAAGTTTCTGATTTTATTTTATACCTTTAAGTTTATGTTGAAATCAGAAACTTAAAATCACAAACTTAAATCAGATACTTAAGTTTCTGATTTTAGTTCATACTCAAGTTTATTTCTGGTTAAGTTTATTTAATTCAAGTTTTAAACAAACTTAAGTTCATAAGTAAATAACTTGAAATCAGAAACTTGATAGCTTACGTATATAAAAACCAAAAATCAGAAACTTAAACTTAAATAATATTAAACTCAAAAAATAATAAAATTCTGATTTGTAAAATAGCCTAGTCACCCATTGTTATTTAAAACATAAAAGGAAAGCACCCTATAATTAAAATATTCTCAATAAACAGCCAAATTTCTAACAGAAATATTACAAATAATAATATTTTTTCCGATAAATTTTCTAAAGTTCATTGTGTTGTACAACAGATGCCACCGAATCGTGGTGGCCAGGACATGTACCTGTCAGTCTTTTCATTGCCATCTAAAAAAATTTTTTTTTAATTTTTAAAAAATCCTTCCAAAATTTTTTACATTAGAAATTCCATAATAATGAGCAAAAGCAGCACAGACAACGCAGAGATGGAAAAGCTGATGGGACTGGAAAACCAAGTCACATTTTCCAGCTAAAAGAAAAATTTATTTTTATTTTTTTAATTTTAAAATATTAAAAAAAATTTTTTGGGACAAAATGTCAACTCCCAAAATTATTTTTAAAAAACACATAAATTAAATAGGATCCCAAAAAAATTTTTTCATTAAAAAATTTTCTAATTTTCTTACGAAAGAATCGTTCAGGCGTTCTAGTAGCATAAAGCACAACCCCAAATAAATAAAGCAAAGCCATTGCTATAAGCCAATAAAAACTATTATCTTCAATTAATCGATGCATTCCGTCAGTGTATGCAAAATGAATTGTTGGAACTACTCCTGAAAAATATTTTTTTAATTTAAAAGAGCATTGAAAAAATTTTTTTTAAAGACTCGCCCTTTCACAATTTTTTCCGAATTACACCTCTCAAAACTATTTTTCATTACGATTTCAAAATATTTTTTTTTCGAAACAGCTGTGAACCTCATTAAAAAAATATGGCTAATTAGACATGGCCTGGGACTGAAAAATCGTTCAGACGTTCTAGTAGCATAAAGTAGAAAATTTTTTTGAAAAATTTTTTGGGACAAAATGTCACCTTCCAGTCCTAGATCTTTTCTGGATCCACAGTCAAGACCAAGTCAATTTTTCAGTTATTTTTGATTTTTCCTTGACTTAAGGTCAGGAAATTTAAAATTTCCTGACCTCTAGTCAGCGAAAAAATTTTAAAATGTCAAAATGTCGAAAACCCAAAAAAAAATTTTAAAAAATACCGCTACAGCCCATAAATGAAAATATTCCTGCACGCATAGGTCTATATCTTTTGTCATTGAATTTATCCCAAAGAGAAACTACAATAGCGGATAGACCAAGAACACCAATCATCTTTAAAAAAATTTTTAATAATCAAAAAAATAAAAATAAACCGCAATATAACTAATTTTTGGTTCTCTTCTACAATAAAATCCATAATAAATCCAAGGAATGAACGAGCCAACAATCAGCAAGGAAATGCCCATATAGTCGAGTCTGTGAAATAAAATGATAAAAAAAAATTTTTTTTGGCACTTTTTGAATATCTCGGTCTGTTCCTAATTTGAGTATCAGAGTAATTATAAAACTTTCTTCCTCTACGGCAGAGGTGGACCGGAAAAGTCAACGGTGTCAGAAATTGGAAGAGCCGGAAATCGGAACCGGCTCAAAAGTCGAAACTCGGAAACCAAAATTTTATTTCGGAACTAGGAAGGAAAAAAACCTCGGAAGCCGAATTTTGACCCATCTCTGTTCTACAGGGAAATGAAGTGGAATTGAGGAAGTTTGACCATTAAGTAAAGCTTAGGGAAAACTCTGAGACTCAAACTAAAGGAAGATCCAAAAAGTAGCAAAAGTTTTTCCAAAAAACCTGCTAAATATCCGCACAACATATTTTGAATGACAAGAAACTGTGTGGAATGTAAAAGAAAGTCCTAGACAAAGAATGGCACCAGCAAAAAAGAAAGAGAAAACCAATTTTTCCTTAAAAATAAAAAGATGACATTTAATCCCAAAAATTTTTTAAAAACCTGAAATTGTATATGAGTCTCTGGACGTGTTAGGAACCATAGGGCGAGAAAGAAAAATGCCAAACACCCAACTAAATGAGTCCAAATATTTCCCGTTTCGGTATGAAGTGACCAAATTGATTTGAAACACGCCGCAAAGCTGGGCAAAGGAGGGCGGTGACCGGTATGCAAAAAATCGTTGTCCTGTAGCCAATCTGGAAGTGAATGGAATGTTTGGACTGTCCAAGTAGCTTCCCAAGTCTGAAAAGAGAAAAAATTAGAAAATATTTTAAAGAATATTATTAGGGGGAGGGCAGAAAATGATGGATTCTTTAAAACTCAGATGGGGTCAGTTGTGTCAAGAATAAGAATATCAAAGATCATGTTTAACAGGGTCATCAGTTTTAGAAGAAAAATTAGTTTAGGAGACATGGGTAATCATTTCGGGCTGCCGGTGATCTCTCAGGTCGATAAAGGCGAAGTAGCCTCCAAAGTCGACAAAGAGGTATTTCGTTTTTTGAAGATGTATTGGGCATTTTATCCCCCAATTTTCCCCTCAATCCCCACCTCTAAAATGCTCACAAAATTACCTAAATCAATTTCAAATTGATTGGAACCGCCCCAAATTCATTTTAAAAACCCAAAATAATTAAAACAACCTGTTGAATCAAATGAGCACCACTCGTTTCAGTTCTACAGTGTTCTGTTATTTCAACCTTTAAATAATTTTTAAAATTATTTCTGACAAAAAAACTTAAAAAATACCTTCAATTGAGCATCATCTTCACCTCCCCGAGTCGCAACATTACTAAGAATTTCATCACTAATTGCCTTTCCTGTACCAACCAAATCGTCTCTTTGCCAAAAATCTTCTTTGTGCCGACGACGGTAAATGACATTCATGTGCCTTTCATTTGTCTAGAAAAAACAAAAATTTGAGTAAACCCCTCAAGCTTCAAAGAAATTTTAAAAAATGGAAATTATTTTAATTCCATAGATTTTGACAAATACTAGCCACAAAGCCCGTAGCCAGAAAGTACCGAAATGAGGGAAAAAAAAAACAAAAAATTTGGGGAGGGGGAAAAAGCGTATTTTTAGGCCCTCCAAAATTCTCAAAACCTTCGTCTGCTGTGCAAAAATCAAAACCCATTTTCACCCCATGCTCCTCCCCTCCCCCAAAAATTTCTTTGTCTACGAGCCTACAAGTCAACATGAATTTATAAACTAATCGAAATTTAAAATACCCAAATCCTACTTATTAAAAACCCCCAAAAATTCAATAATTTCCTATTAGATTGACAATAAGTTGACAAAAATAAAGGAGAGTTAAGCTTAATTATTTCCCAAAAAGATGAAAAATTTCCCTTTAAAGCTCTCCCACTAAAATATCCCTCTATTTCCCCATTCCCCATATAAAATAAAATTAAAAAAAACCCAAACCATTTCTTCTGGCAAATTTCCGCTGCTCTGAACCTTTTTGTTATTGTGTGAGCATTTGTGGATTGATGGGAGACGAGTTCTTTGTGGCGGGGAAACGAGGTCCGTATCGCTTGACCATCCTTAAAATTTATCAAAAATAAAATTTAAACAAAAAAACAACCTCTATCATCCCTATCTGCCGTAACCGTTTCAAACTCCTCCTCATCCCGTTCCAAAAGTCGTTGACGCAAAACTGTAATTTCCATAGGGTCTTCATCCCCACCCGTTTTTGTAACTTTTACGGTTGTAGACTCATCCAAAATTCTTTCATTCGGATGCTTTTCACGATGCTCTTTATTTGTTAAAATTTCACGGGCGTCCTGCAAAACTTCGTTTACGTCAGCTGAAACAAAATCCATATTTGGTTGAGGACAGGAAGCTTTTCTGGAAATGTGCCCCACAGAGTTTGCGACGTTATTTGCGGCCATTTTTATATTTTTAGAGACTAAAATTTATTGAAATTTTAGAATTAGCAGTAAAAGAAAAGTTAAGCAAACTAAAATAAAACCAAAATAAAAAGAATAAAAAATAAAGGATTAAATTGACGGTTTTTGGATTTTGCATGAAACGACAAAAAAGAACGTGTAAAATGAGGAGGTAGGCGAGAAAGTGAAAGAAAGGAAAAAGAAGAGAGAAAAAGTTTTAAAGTTTACAGAATATCAAAATACAAAATACCAACAAGGCAAAAATATTAAACTTGGTCAGAATAAAAATCAGAATTAAGCTTAAGCTTAAAATTAAAAAATAAAACTTGAAATAAGAAGCAAGTTCAATCTTAAGAATAAAAAAATAAATATAAAATAAACTTGGTCAGAATAAACAAATTAAACTTGAAATCAGAATTAAGCTCAAGCTTAAATTGTATTGAAACTTAACTGGGGTAAAAACAAAAAAATAAAATCAGAAACTTAAAAATAAAATAAACTTAATCAGAATAAAACTAGAATCAAGCTCAAGCTTAAAAATAAAACTAGATCAGAATCAAGTTCAATCTTAAGAATTTTATTAAAACCTAGCTGCAGTAAAAACAAATTAATAAAATCAGAATTAAACTTAAAAATAAAAGTTAAACTTAATCAGAATAAAACCAGAATTAAGTTCAATCTTAAAAAATAATATTAAAACTTTAACAGAATAAAATCAGAAATTAAGTTAAAATTTAAAATAACATTAAAATTAAAAAAATTAACAAATAAAATAAAATATAAAATGAAAAAATTAAAAAAAAGTCAAAATGGATTAAAGTTTCTATCAAACACGTGTTTAAAAATAAAAGAATAAAAAATGCACGCGGGAGAGAACACGCGCGTTAATATTGTTTTACTATATTTATAAATAATTTGGATAAATTTGGCATGTGGTAGGTTCTCTCATGTCCTAGCTTTTCTTGAAATATTTTTTGTCGACACTAAAAAGGAAATTATTTTTTTCGCTGCTTTTTAAAATCTAAAGAGCAGAAATAAGAATAAAATATAAGATAAAATCACACTAGAAAACAAAACAGAATCAAGCTCAATCTCACAAAAATTAAAGTGAAATTAAAAATCAGATTTAAGCTTAAACTTGAAAATAAAATTTTAAACTTAAGCAGAATAAGAGTAGAATCAAGCGTAAACTTAATTATAACAAAACTAGAAATCAGAATCTAGCTTAAACCAGAAATATTAAAACTTAACAGAATAAAATAGAAACCAGAATCAAGTGCAAACTTAAAAATTAATTCATTACATAACCAGAATAAAACTTTAAATTAAAATAAACTTAAAAATCAGAATTACCGTATTTTCTCGATTAATTCCCCTGGGGAATTATTTTTCAACCCTTCCTTGGCATGGGGAATTAATCGAGGGAGGAAATTATTCGAGTTTTGGCATTTGAACGTGCAGTAGGGTATTTGGGGGTGGGAATTATTGCTTCAACCCAACTCTAGCATGGGGAATTATTCGAGGGAGGGGAATTAATCGAGAAATCGTAAAAAATAGAAATTTGAGATTAAAATTTAATTAGAGATTAAATTTAAAAATTAAAATAAAAATCTAAGTTCTACCCCTTTATTTGCATTAATGCGAACCTTTTATCATTCATTCCAACTAAATAGTAAATAAATAAAAATCGCGTGAATGATGGATAGATTTGTGAATTGGCCTCTGTTGGGGAAGGAAAGAATAGAAAAAAAGCAATTGAAAAATTAATAGAAAGAATAAAAATTATAATAGAAAATTAGTGCTCTATGGTTGGTATTTACATAAAAATTAAATTTTACAATGACTAATTGAGAATTAAAAATATTTTTATAAAGATTAAATTTAAAAAATTAAGTTTAAACTTTAATTCTGATAACAGGTTTTAATTTAAAAATTTAAGTGTAAGCTTAAATTCTGATTTTAGGCCTTAATTGCTAATATTAAGTTTAAGCTTGTATTCTCATTTAAGTTCAAGTGTAACCTTAAATTCTGATTTAAAGTTTCACCTAAAATACTTTAAGATTAAGCTTAAATTCTGGTTTAAGTTTTAAATTAAATAAGTCAAGTTTAACCTTAAATTCTGATTTCAGGTTCTTAAATTCTGATTTAAAGTTTCAACCTGGAATAATTTAAGATTAAACTCGGATTCTGGTTTCAAGTTTTAAATTTAAATAATTTAAGCTTAAGCTTAAATTCTTATTTCAATTTATATTTTTTTATTCTGGTTTAGAGAATTTTTAAAGTTTAATTTGATAAATATATTTTTTACAAAAGTACAAGGATCAACATTATTAGTAGACTTTTCTTTTTTATAAACAAACATTAATCATATGACACTTGTGTACAAATATTTATTTTAGCTCATTGATTTACTTTGTTGTGTCTAGAAAATATTTATAATTTTGTTTTTTTTCAAATAAAAAAATAAAAAAAAATAAATTTTAAACAGAAATGAACTTTTAACTTTAAATTTTAACCAATTTTTAAAGATTAATTGATAAAAAATTGATAATTATTAACAAGGCGATTTTATTAATCTTCTTAGAAAAATTTTGAACTTTAATTAGAAAAAATATAGTTTGAAAAAATAAATCATAATTAAATCATAATTTAAATAATAATTAAGCTTGATCTTCATTTAAATCAGAATTAAGCTTGATCTTAAAATATAATTAAACTTTATCAGAATAGAATTATGAAAGACTAAACAAATAAAATGTAACTAAAAATCAGAATCAAGTTAAACCTTAAATTTACCGAAATTTGAATTAAGCCCCGTAACCTTTAATGACTGATTGATAGCAATTTGCAATCATTGTAAAAAATTTGCGAACATATCAACTGAAGCCCTCCATCCGAATGCAACTGCAGTGAAAGGATTAAAGTCACAAAGACTTGAACTGCTATAGCTCATATTTCCATCCCGTGCATATATCAACACCATCTCAGTGTGTATTTACGTTCCCATTAGGACTCAATAATCCCTAATGTTTGCTGTTGGAACGTTTCTCTCTCTACAGCGGGAAACGGCGGCCAGTTGTTCGCACAGATGACTTTTCTCTGCAACTTATATATTAATGCAGAATATGTCTACAATAAATTTTTTATGGGGAGCAGCAAAGAAAAATAGTTTAGTTTATATCCCTCCCTTCTATGTCTTTCTCTGTGTACGAAAAAATCGTTAAACAACAAATGGGGTCCAACAAAATATAAGAGTTTCAACAAAATAGATAATTATGCCTACGAAATAGAGAATTATGCCTACGAAATGGAGAACGTAATAAAGATCGGTCTAATAGAATTAAAAAAATTGGCGAACTTAAACTGAACCCTCCATCCGAATACAACCGCAGTGAGAGGTCAATTTCATCGATAAATGCTCCTCCTGCTATTCTTCGACCCTTGAGATTGCTTTCAATCGTTGAGCCGGCTATCATGGTTGCGTCCAACCTTCCGCTCTACATGATTGCTTCAATCATCCTTCGGTCAATACTAGCCACCGAGGCCATATCAACTGCGTTTACTACCCGTAGGGCGTAAACGTACGTTCCCATTAGGACTCAATAAATCCTAATGTTTGCAATTAGAACGTTTCTCTATCTAAAGCGGGAAACGGCGGCCAGCTGTTCGCACAGCAAGCAAATTTCTTCAACATATATATTAATGCAGAATATTTTTAAAATAAATTTTGTATGAGAAGCAGGAAAGAAAAAGATTTACTAAAATATATTTTTAGTTTCTCTATCTTTCTTTCTATGTAAAAGAAGAAAAGAAATGAGAACAAAGTGTTATTTAACAAATTGACACTCGACATAATGTTACGCAAAAAATAGTTAAGTTCAGTGAAAATAGCCAACTTCAAAATTAAGCCAGTACAAATTAGGGAAGGGTCGGGTTAACTAAACACGAAACCTGGACTTTTTTCGACCCGAACCCGACCCAATGAAAGTTTTGAAACCCCTCCTGTAACCCTACTCGACATTTTTCTCATCCTGACCCATCCCTGTTACAAACCACAGATGGGGTTGACTTTCTTAAAAAAACACTAAATAAATGGAATTCTTTTTCCAGAAATCGTGAGCTACTTATTATCTCACAAACATCTGAAACAAATTCCAGAGAAATATACTAATTTAATTTATTCCAACAAAAATTAACAAACGGATTTACTTATACATACTTTTAAATTTTAAAATTAACAAATTCTCTTTTTCTTGCTTCGCTTTATTCTTTAAATTATTCCTTCCTCTTATTTCCCTTTTCGCTTCATTGAATCAACACTTCTTATCCTCAGGAACCACCTTGAGTGGATACAACCCGTTAAGGGTGAAATCCAACTCATGTGTCTTCGTATTATACCCTTCAAGCACAATATTACACGTATTGTCATCAAACATATGGACGTCTTTAAACGGAACTTTGACTTCTTTTCCCTCAGCATAGCTAAAAATCAGAGTTCCAGATTGTGGGCCTTTTTTAATCTCTTTACTGGGTATTTTACATTCCTCCCCTTTAGTATTTTTAATGGAAGCTTCACATCTAATTCCTCCAACCTCCAAAATAATTTTTGTATTTTTAAAGATTGGGTCACTTGTCTTCGAAGCAACTTTTAAAATGTTTACTTTCTTCTCATCATTAGTAGTTGTGTGTTCATGTTTCAGTAAGCTAGGAGTTGGGTTCACAAGCTTGCCCATTTTGCAAGGACTTGAACTCGAACTTGAAGCATCCCCACTTCCACTTCCCTCAATTATGGCAATTAAAGCCAAAGAAATGATTAGAAGGGTAGTGGTGAGGGAGATGGCCATTTTTGAGTATTTTTAGGGGTTTTTGAGTTTTTTAGTTGTTAAGGAGTTTATTTGATGGTTGGATAGCTAATTAATTGGTGTTTATATATCAGCTAATTTGAGGATTTTGAAAGGCGTTTTGGCCAAATTTATTATTTTATTTTTTTAATTAGCGTCTGGGAAAAACTCAAACATTAAATGCCCTTTAATTCCCTTTCCCTTTGATTTCCCCCAAAAATACAAGCAAAAAGGGCAATTATTATTAGACAGCCACCTTTGAAAGTGCACTTTTGTCGAGACTTAATAAATTTTAAAAAATGCCAAGACACATCCGGAAATATTTAAGAAATCCTAATATTGCCCTATATTTGCACTTATATTATTTCTTAATTTTATTTTGTTTTCATTAAAGGGCATTTTAATTAAATTTCATAAGATAATGCAATTTTAATTATTATTTTTTGCAATTTTGTTTATTTAATATTAAATATTCTATTTAAATTTTTTTGTTAATATTAGATAAAAGGACTACTAGAAATATTGCAGGAAAAGGTTGAAAAGTCACAATTTTTTTCTAAGTATTCCATGATTTAATTAGCTAAAATAAGTCTGGCCATTTAGTATAATGATAAAAAAATAAAAAAAGAACAGTAAAAATATGGAAATAATTAAAATTAATTTTTTAATTAATTTTAATTATAAATTAGGTAATTCACTTGTCCTCTAATAATTCTTCAAATTCCAAGTGATCTATTTGAGAATATTGTCCTAAATTTTTCTTTTAAGATATTTTTAAGTATTTATCTGTAATTTATCCGTTCTATTAATTTGTCTATTTGAAATTAAAATAAAATCCAAAATTAAATTCTTAACTAAATTTTAATAATTACAGGATGACCCAAAAGAAACCGGGCACTTTTCTATCCTTTATAACTACTTATGTTTATATTATTTTTAAATTATTCCAAGTTTATTTTGTAGCTCATTTATTTCTCTTACTGGTAAAAATAATTCTAACTATCTGCAGCTATTAGAGACGTCCGAGACCGAAAATTTCGACAATTAGAAATTTTTGGTCCAAAAAGGCCAAAAACCAAGACCAAAAAATAAAACCAAGACAAGACCAAGACAAACACCCCAAGACCAAGACCGAAAAAAAACCAAGAAAAGTCTTGAGTCAAGACTCAAGACAAAGAGTCTCGGACGTCTCTAGCAGCTATGTCGCTACGGATAAAAATCCTTAGCATTGTTTTTACCAGCATCTATCATATAGTAAAATTAAAGATTTTTTGATCGAGGAAAAAGAAAGTTATGTTATTTTAGGTACACCACTATATCAAAATTTTCCCCTCAAAATTTTATTTTCTGTATCTCAGAAAGGTTTTTTCCAAGTTTTATTCGCCATTTAGTTCTCGATAATTTCATCTTTATTTGATCTCATTATCTTTAATTTGAATAAAGTTATGCCAGAAATAGCGTGCCCAGTTTCTTTTGGGTCATCCTGTATACAAAATACACATATAAAATTAAAATTAAAAAAATTTAAATTTAATTTTGTCACGTTCGGGACTTGTAAAATTAGACGAACACATTCAGAAACTTTATCGCTTGTCAGGGTTGTCTTTTTCAAACCACTGAAATAGGGCGCAGCCACTGAAAAATGGGGAAAAATAAGAAAACGATCAAAAATAGGGCAAAAAATAGGAAATTATTTTAAAAATAATTAAAATCTCAAGGAGGTACGACAATTGAGAATACGTACTTGAGGATATTACAAATGAGGAACAAGGATAATTGACAAGGATAATTGACCTTATATTGTTATTAAAGTAGTGCTTTGGCGGGGTATGATGATTTAAAAAATTTTTTGTTACGAAAAAGACATAAAGCTGCAAAAATTAATTGTATATCTTACTAAAATTTTCAACTTCTTTTAGAATAGAATTACTGTTACAATACTGTTAAAAAATATTTTCATGCCCTTATTTATTGTTCTAAATTTTTATATTTGATAAAGTAATATAAAATATAAAGTATAATTTATCAAAAATATTAAATTTATATAATTTGAAGAATTGTTTTTTTTTTAATTTTTTTGAATGCTTTCTTCAACTTTTAAATATATTTTTTCATTTATCTCTCACGGCTATTCCTCTTCAATTTCTAATTTTTCGCTCCACAAGCCTTTACAATTTGCTTATTTGTCGGCTCAATCATCAGCTTTACTTTATTCATAGAAAGAGATAATTTGTGGTCCTTCATATCGTAGCCATCAAGAACAATTTCGGATTTATTTCCAACAAAGATTGGGGTGTCTTTGAAGGGAACGTAGACAGAAGGGCCGTTTTCAATGTCATAAATCAATTTTCCAGACAATTTGTCTCCATGAATTTGACATTCTACAGGAGTTCCGTTATTCTGGGCAACACACTTCGGCTGGTTTTCAACCTGTAAAGTCACTGAATATTTTGATTTGCCACCAGATACAATTAATTGATTGGACGAATTTGGGTTATTTGCCATCATTTTGGCGTCTCCATGCATTCTTGACCCTGCTACAGGCACAAACATCCCATATATCACTTTACAATCCTTTTGGGTTTGGAGAGAATCGGAGGTTGAAGCACTTCTATTAGTATTCATTCCCTCAGATGTAGCAATAATTGAAATGATTAGAAGGGTAGAAGTGAAGAAGATGGCCATTTTTGGTTTGTTTTTAGGGTTGTTTTGGGGTGTTTTTTGAGTTTTTAGTTGTTGAGGAGTTTATTTGATAATTCAATAGCTAAATAATCGGTGTTTATATATTAATGTATTTTAGGGGGTTTGAAAGTTTTTTTGTCAGTTTTGCCATATTTTCATCTGAGAAAAACAAAAGTGCAATTGCATTACTTTGGCATCATATTATATAATATATGAAGGAAAGCTTTGGAGTTATTATTGAAATGGTAATTTCATAAAATTTTTTTATTCATTTTATGACATGTAAGATGATGTAAACATATGTAATTGCACTTTTATTATTTCTCAAGTTTTTAATTTCAAAACCCCTCAAATACATTAATATATAAACACCGATTATTTAGCTATCGAATTATCAAATAAACTCCTCAACAACTAAAAACTCAAAAAACACCCCAAAACAACCCTAAAAACAAACCAAAAATGGCCATCTTCTTCACTTCTACCCTTCTAATCATTTCAATTATTGCTACATCTGAGGGAATGAATACTAATCGAAGTGCTTCAACCTCCGATTCTCTCCAAACCCAAAAGGATTGTAAAGTGATATATGGGATGTTTGTGCCTGTAGCAGGGTCAAGAATGCATGGAGACGCCAAAATGATGGCAAATAACCCAAATTCGTCCAATCAATTAATTGTATCTGGTGGCAAATCAAAATATTCAGTGACTTTACAAGTCGAAAACCAGCCGAAGTGTGTTGCCCAGAATAACGGAACTCCTGTAGAATGTCAAATTAAAGGAGACAAATTGTCTGGAAAATTGATTTATGACATTGAAAACGGCCCATCTGTCTACGTTCCCTTCAAAGACACCCCAATCTTTGTTGGAAATAAATCCGAAATTGTTCTTGATGGCTACGATATGAAGGACCACAAATTAACTCTTTCTATGAATAAAGTAAAGCTGATGATTGAGCCGACAAATAAGCAAATTGTAAAGGCTTGTGGAGCGAAAAATTAGAAAAATTGAAGAAGAATAAATGTGAGATAAATGAAAAAATATAT